AGTATTAGTATTATTATTATTATTATATATGTATTAGATAGATAGATAGATAGATAGATAGATAGATAGATAGATAGATAGATAGATAGATAGATAGATAGATAGATAGATAGATAGATATTGTTTGGTAGGTATTTATTTCAGTTTTTCTTAAACCTTTATCTAAAAGCGAGCGTTGATATCTGACAAAAAATGAACTTCTCTAATTTTTTTTGTTTTGTTTTGCTTTTTGTTTTTGTTGTTCAAATGTTTAAGTGTAACGGTTATTGCAAAAGGTCAATTTTATAAAATGGGTGATAGAAAAAAAAAGAAATTGATTGAATCACATTATAAAGTAAAATCAGTATTCTATCTAATAATTTAAAGCTAGGTTAATTTGCCTGTTAGGATCTGTTTGTGAATCTCTCGTCTTACCAGAAGAGGGCCTGTCAGAGTAGCGGGTACAGTAGACCCAAGCGGGCCAGAGCATGGGTTGGTTCTCCGCCGTAGTGGTACCCTTCCCGTTTAGCACTACTAGAGAGGAGACAGCATCCTCTCCGGGGTTCTCCTCGGGTTTGAACACCTCGCTCTTTGATCCAGGGGCTGCTGTGTCGCCGTTGCTGCACTTTTTGGGACTGGCGATGGAGGATGAATTGCTGTCGCTGCTGCAGCTGGAGTCCAGGCATGCTGACACTGGAAACGACCTACAAAGGTCCGGGCAGGAACTTTGCGCCTTCTCTCTCGTACTTAGATCGAGTTCTTTCCTGCATCCAAAATCCGGTCGTAGGATGTTGTCAATGAAGAAGTTGGTTGTTCTGTGGGCCTGTTGGGCGGCCTGAAGAGGCAGCATGGCTATTGACGGAGAATCGCTTTCTCCCTCGCTATTATCAGCGCTGCTAAGATTCCCCTCTTCCTCCATCAGTGTCCCAGAAGGTGTCTTCTCTTCTGGTGGAACACCGTCCATTTCTTTAATAAATAAATTAATACATTAAAATGTCAACAGAAGTAAGAATTAAAGCAGGACCATTTTGTTTTGCTAAAATATGTGGTGAAAACGAGGATAACCAATTTGCGCAAAAAACCTCCTGCGCGTCATGGTCAGTGACCCACTAGAGGGCTGCTGGGCTTGCTGCCGCGCACTGCTCTGATGCACGGACGGCTTTCAGCACTCTCTCCAAAGTCTGCAGAGCGTGTTGTCGAACTCACCGTCCGCAAGAGAAGCAACAACATCCAAAACGACCAATCAGTGCTCTCGGCAGTCTTAAACAGAATGACGACGTTGGATTAAGCGAGGCGTCTCTTTGCCAAAAGGAGACATGAGTTTAAGATGCAACCAGAGGAGAATATCTCCGTCAGCTGAGATGGAATGACTTTTCATACAAATTCAACCATTCGCCTCTCGACAGCTGACCAGATTTTTTTAGGAACCGAAAATATCCTATAACCTGATTGTTTTGCAGAGTAGTATCTTTAATATAATTGTATATTATATGGAGTGGCCTTCAATGATTTGAGTCGGTCACTCTTTTTAGACATCTGCTTTGCAGAAACGCTCAGTAAAATACAAAATCTGCTTTCTTATATCCGAAGGCCATTAGGCTAAAAATCCACCAAGCCTTGACGAATACATAATTTTTTATAACACTTTGAGTGCTGAATAGATTTAAAAAGCTGCATTAAAATATTACATTAATTAATTCGTTCATTTGGATCTTTTTTTTAAATAAAAAAATCATCAGAAAACGAACAAACAGTGTAAAACCATTTGTTTCACTTCGATGCTGCTGCTGTTTGATCCTCCTGCCAAGCTTTAGCCTTATTAACTGCCATCCCGTCATTTTCAGGGAAGAACTGGAGTTCTGATTAGTTACCATAGCTACCGAATATCCTCTTTGTTTTTGACTGCGGGGATGCGCGTGCAGACACGCAACAACAACAGAGGTTGCGATTAATTCAGAAGTCTGACACTTAAGCTCTCCAATTTATTTCGTTAGCAATAATTTATGATCATAATAAATGCAGAATTCTTAATATTAGCTGATAGAACTATTAATATTATGCGTTTGAATAACTTTCGCTATAAACTTTTTTGTGGCTATATGAAACAAGTGGAAGGTTTCAAATTTTTTTTGTTCAATAAGATAATGGCTGAGAGATAAATAATAAGAAATAAAAACAACACAGACAAAACCAACCAAAGGTTACCCTCTTATTTCTTTTAAAACACAAATAGCCATTGCTATTGATTTTAAACCTGTTTGTAAATATCCTGCAATTTACTTCGTTCGGTTGCATAGTTTTTTGTAGGCTCCTGGAGGCAATAGGTGTGTTTAAAAGGCAGTCAGATTAAGGTAGATCAATCAGAGGTGTTTTAGCGTAGAGGTAGGAATAGTTTAAACGTTTTGTTCGTAAATTGATTGTGATTTGTAAATTTAAAGCGCATGGAAGCAGAGGGAAAAAAATATTTTTGTTCAGTTTAAGAAAACGGATCATCTTCATAACATACCTTTAGCAGAGAGTCACTTTTATATAACTAGAAAAAATAAACAAACAAACATCTTCAAGTGTGAGCTATGGGGGGAACAATTACTACGCTAGAGTGACACCTGCTGGTTAGATGCGAGACGTGCAATGGGGGTTGACTGCTTTCTTTCTGTCATCCACTAGTGTTCGCTTAGCCATGCACGGTAACCGGGATTCCCTTCCTGAGAACTTTGTCAATGGTGTCAATCAAAGCTTGTTATAGCCAGGAAGGGGGTGGGGGGAGTAGGGGGTGGTGGTTGAGACATAAAAACAATTTAATTATACGCCTGTGATATGATATCTTTCATTTAGGTCCATTTTATCAGTCTTAATTAACATCATTACAAACTGTAAACAGTTTTGAAAAATCAAAGTATGCTTGATTCTGTTTGTCCAAATGCAGTAATTTTACAGACTTTAACTGCTGTGTACAGGGGCGGATCTAGAAAGATATTTATGGGGTGGCGAGAGGGGGGCAGGAAGTTTCATATTATATATACAAAAAAAGAATCAACATTGCTTTATATTAAGCAGGATTTACACCAGTATCCCATTTTTAACTTTACTTTTAACACTTTTGGTTCTATTAAAGGAAATATCTGATTTTCTCAGGTGCCAAAACAAAATGTAACAGCTCTGTAGAGGCTCACCAGAGAGCATAACATAAAGTAGACATGTCTATAACAACTGAATGCGGTGATTTCTATGTTGCTCAGCAAAACGCTTTGTGCATTTTGATTTCAGTACAACCAAACTTGATCCCTTTTCTTTCATAGTTGACCCCTGGCTCCCTCGCTTTGCACCATTCGGTTTTCAAAACAAATCATTCTCAGTCGCTCTTGCGTCATCTCGTGCTGCATTCACTGCAGTCCGACATTGGAAATTAGCGGTCAGTAATTCTCAAATTATCCATAATTTATAAGCCTCGCCACCCCTACCGCCAACTGGGGTGACAGCAGGGGTGGCAAGGCTGTCATTTAGGGTGGCATTTGCCACCCTATGCCACCCCAGTAGATCCGCCTATGGCTGTGTCTAATTCTGAGTAGGAATTAGGTACAAATTAGCAATTAAAAGATTTTTTGACTCAACGGAATGTGCGTTTTAGAAACATTTTTGAAGTCCCAATACATATATTTTGCATTTATTGTGAACAAAATAACTTTCAGAATACTAACTCTAAATCAATAGTACACATAGAAGGGGCTTGGGGTTGTTACATTGTGGGTAAACAGTGTTTTTTTTTTTATCTATTGTATTTATGATGAAATTTTATAATTAAAGTTTTTTATTCTGAACCTGAAAGAAGCAATAAAGTAAAACAAGAATTCCATTTAAAACGAATGAAGGCATCAGAATTACTAACATTATTGCAACACATTACTTTTTTCACTACCAGTGGACCATTTGACTTACACAACCTTTATCGTCGTTATATATACACATAGTCTATACAAACAAACGAAATTTCGTTTTGGACAGATGTCATGACATTTCCATTTCTTAAAGTGCAGCAGTGATCAAATGTAAACAGTGTGGGAGAAAAAAAAAACATGGTGCAAAAAAAACAAACAAAAAAAAAACACATTCATATGGAAGTTCAGAACAATGTGCATGTGTTCTAACCAGCCTTTCGAAGCGCTTCATCATGATAGGAGTCAGTGCAACAGGCCAGTAGTCATTGAGTGAGGTGACCTGAGGCTTCTTGGGACCGTAATGATGGTGGCAGACTTGAAGCATGCTGGCTCTAAGGATTGGTTCAGCAAGGTTTTGAAAATGTCTGTGAGGATGGTAGAAAGGTCAGAATAATTCATTCAAAGGTAACAAAAAAAAAAAAAAAAATCACACAACGAAAGTGCAAAGTGTGCTAAAACTTAATCACAAGATGATATGAGTTACTGCCAAAAGTTCCCCTTTTTGCATTTTTTTTAGAGGCTTTAAACCGGGAACAACAGGAACTTGTCATAATAGGTGATGAACCTAGCCCATATGCAGAACACTCGGAGGCAGGAGAAAAGTTCAAAAGGTTTATTAAAGAAATGAAGACAAATTAAACAAGTCCAGGGTTTGGGAAACTGATCAGGATTTGGTTCCCCGCTGGTCTGGGGATGAGCAGAGCTGCAGAGAGGGGGGGAACCTTGTGGATCCAGAGGCTGTTGGCAGGCCGAGGGCTGAGGGCTAGCAGAGCTGAGTGTTGACAGGAGGTGAACTGAGAGCTAGGCTGAGACAGTCTGAGTGCTGCGGGCTGGTTCCAGGTTGGGAACAATGTGCAGGCTGGAGGAGAGCTGAGAGCTAGGTAGAGGCAGTCGGAGTGCTGGCGGGCAGGTTTCTGGTTGGGAACCCTGTGCAGGCTGGAGGAGAGCTGAGAGCTGGGCAGAGGCTGTCTGAGTGCTGGCGGGCAGATTTCAGATGAGCTCTCTCTCTCTTTCTCTCTCTTGAGGACCAGGCTGAGGTGGAGGCAGAGCTTGAAGGCAGATCACTGACAGTCTCTCTCCAAGTTATCCTCTGAGGGCGGGCAGGCAGATGCTGACTGAAGAGGCCCTCCAGAGTTCAACTGAGAACTGGCAGGCAGATTTCCAGCAGAGTAAACTCTCCAGAGTTTCAGGTTAACGGGCAGGATCAACCTGTGAGGCAGAGAGGAGAAAACAGGATCAGGTTCGGATCACTGAAAGTCAGAAGACTTAGACAGGCAGGTTGGCTCAGGTCTTGCTAACCGTAACTGGCAGATACTCTGGCATTGGAGTGTTAGTCTCCTCCCCCTTAAGTAGGCCCAAGGGTGATAAGGAGATTAAAGACAGGTGTTGCAGGTAAGCACAAGCCCTCAGGAAGGGATCCATGGCGCCCTCTGGTGGGCAAGCCTCTGGATCCCAACAGACAGCAGAAGCCCTCAGAAAGGGATCCTCGGCGCCCTCTGGTGGGCAAACCTCCGGATCCCAACAGAACTGTTGCCGCATCATCAAATTTACCTGACTAAAAAAGTTTATTGATCCCCTTCTTAAACATGAATTTTCTTCATATTCAAATAGTTTTAATATAAATATAAATTGAATTACATTTTAATGTAATGCAAAAGTGTGAAATTAGTAAACAAATGTTTATTTTTTATTTTGGAGCTGTTGCATGGCGTTATGCTATGCTTTCTAAGTAGGCTATTTCATCAGGATTAAATTACTGACATTGACCATTACTGAATAGGTAATTTCAAATAACATGGTTTATCCCTTTTACAGGCTATTGGAAAGGTTAAAGCAAAACTTTTTTTCTACAGGTGAGCCAAATCAGCACATCTGCAACTTAATGCCTTTATAACTAAGGGGAATAAGGAAAAACAAGATAATACTTTCTGAAAATAAATAGAAATATACAAAACACTGGGAAAATATTTAGGTTTCGTTATTTAACAGTTCCAGATTCTGCCTCCCCCTTCCCCTTTCTCCTTTTTGAGCTCATTACGCAGTTTCATGCGTGTTATGTTGAAATCTGGGGAGAAGTTGTTTTACCAACATTGAAATCCTCTTAAGTAAGAAGAGAACAGACATTAAGCCAGTGTAAGAATGATGTGGACAAAATGACGGAGCAGATCACATATAATAATCCCCTGTTCAACATGCCGCTGAGGAGTAACGATTACCACCTCCAGCATGATGGTAAGAACCACTGGGAACCTCTCAGGACTAATTAATGGAAAAGTAGTTAGCTAACCTTAGGCATTTACATGCTAATTCCATTTAGCTTGAATTTGTACCTTTTAAAATGAGCTCATCATATTCTGTAGGACAAAATATGATTCCAAAAGAGTCACAGATAAGTAAAAAAAGTATAGTTTCACAAAAGATAAAAAGTGCACAGCTTTTTAAAATACTTGCCTTTCATACAAATGAAATTAAATACTTAAATTTAGATGTGCAGTATGTAGATAAAATATTGGTTACATTGTTACACTAAAAAAATATATATTTGAGTTTATACAAAACAAATATTTAAATATAAATACAAAAAATATATATTTTTTTATAAATAGAATATAAATAAAAAATATTTTTGCAATTTTTAATATGCAATATGTGTTTACAAGAACTATGCAGCTGAATCACAGGATTAAATAAGAAGACTCAAATCATTAATAAATGCAGCGAGCATGTAAACAACTTAAAAGGGCAGTGGGCAGATAAAACGGATGCATGGTCTTGTTTAATAAAACAGACAGATAATAATTTCTAAGCTGTAATGAGATTTTCTTCACTAAATGCATGTTTGGCCCATTTTTATTGATATATCTGTGCTGAGAACATGGCCAAGTTAAATGGTCTTACTTTTAAATGGCCCAAATGAATGACACACTGCTTCTCAGTTTTTTTTCTAATTGTACTTTTTTTTTTCTCTGTGTTTCAGATCTGACACCAACAAAATCCAGAAGACAGTGGCGTTTTACTCTCCTAATAATCTATGTCATCTTACAGACAGCCTTCGATATTTTTCTCATTTATAAAGGTACAAACAACAGCTGCTAGAACTAAAGCAAAGTGCTTAAATGAAGGAAAATCTTGTGATTTTTCTTCATTGTTTTTTTTTTTAATCTATAATATTAAAAAAATAAAAAATTAAAATTCAAATAGCAAAATCAATATATTTTAAAATGTTTGTTTTTTTCTGGTTCTAGTTTTAACGATGGATTGTACACCAGCAAGGAACTCAGCAGAAAGACAAACCTATTACAGCAACCTCGACCTCAGCCTGGTCGTCAACAACAGCCAGGAAACCAAAAACCTTCGGAGCCATCTATGGGATTTGCAAAATCAGGTTGGAATGTATCTTTATATCTCACAGGAAATAAGGCCAGTTTGTTCTAGGCTTTTGCTGACAGAGTTGAAGAATCTACTAATGTGAGTGGGAATGTCGTTAAACTCAAATCAAAAGCTGAATAGAAAAGAATAGGTTTGTAAGGGGGGAGGAGGTAATTTAAACTGACCTAAGGTAAACTAAATGTGACATCTGAAGTAGGAACAATGAAATAATTTTAACCAGGCTGTATGTGATGTGACATTTAATTAAATATAATTATCTTGGTTACTCTGCCAACAGGTCACAAGCCTTTGTGGTGCGGAAGGTCAGTTACAAAGATTAAGGGCTGACTTGAACCAACTCAATGCTAGCAACCACAACCTGGAAAACAAAATGACAACCATTAGAGTTCAAACAGGTACAGCATGCTGGACTAAATGCTTTAAAAATTCAGCAATGTTGATCTAGAGAAACAGTACTGATATTTCAATCAATCACTAATGAAAAAAATTATTTGATGTTTTCTTTCAACAA